GGACGTCATTCTCCCCTTGTACTCGGCCTTAGTGAGGCCGCAGCTGGAGTATTGCGTCCAGTTTTGGACTCCACAATTCAAAAAGGATGTGGAGAAGCTTGAGAGAGTCCAGAGAAGAACCATGCGCATGATCAGAGGTCAGGGAAGCAGACCCTACGATGACAGGCTGAGAGCCCTGGGGCTCTTTAGCCTGGAAAAGCGCAGGCTCAGGGGTGATCTGATGGCCACCTACAAGTTTATCAGGGGTGACCACCAGTATCTGGGGGAACGTTTGATCACCAGAGCGCCCCAAGTGATGACGACTAGGTCGAATGGTCATAAACTACTACAAGACCATTTCAGGCTGGACATAAGGAAGAATTTCTTTACTGTCCGAGCCCCCAAGGTCTGGAACAGCCTGCCACCGGAGATGGTTTAAGCGCCTACATTGAACACCTTCAAGAGCAAACTGGATGCTTATCTTGCTGGGATCCTATGACCCCAGCTGACTTCCTGCCCTTTGGGCAGGGGGCTGGACTCGATGATCTTCCGAGGTCCCTTCCAGCCCTAATGTCTATGAAATCTATGAAATCTGCTGCCATGATAGTGGATACACCACTACCAAGTAAAGGATGATTGGCAAGAGTACCGTTTTCACCTTTGAAAGGTAACATTCTACCATTCCATGATCCCAAGAACTGCTTCACTCTTATTTCTAGCTTTTTCCATGCCTTTGTTTCTTTCCTGTTGGTGTCCATTGGGATTCCCAAGAACTTGATTACACCCTCTACTACCTGGAGCCTGAACTTCTGTAAATTCTCCCAACTCCCCAAACCCATCAACATACTTTTCATCTTATTTAATTTTTCCCCCGACACTTCACTGTAGTCCTCAGTATGTTTCAATATCCTCTTGATTTGGTACATTGCCCTGAGCCACCATGCTAACATCATCCATGTATAATGTACATTTAACTTCTCTTCCTGGTATCTTCACACCACTTACCAGCTTATCATGACAAATTCTCTACTCCAATTGATCCATTGCACACACAAAAAAGATAGGGGGCAGCAGGCATCCCCTCTCACCCCTGTTTGTATGGGGTATGCTTTGCTCAAGTAATCATTTTACCTCCACTGGGAACCTCTTCCTTTGCAATACTTCAAACATGAAATCATGGTCAACCTTATCGTAAGCTTTTTTCAACTCTAGATTCATTATTACTGTATTTATTTTCCTTTCTAGCACATCCAATATGACATTTCTAATTAAGCATCAGGACTGGGATATCCTCCTCTCAGGAATGGCACACGTTTGTTCTTCTTGTATCACATATGCTAAACAGTTGCACATTCTTTTGGCCATTACTTTTGCCATCAATTTGTCATCTATATTTTAAAAGGTTATTGTCTTCTAGTTGCTTAAAATGTCTTCCTTTCCCGTCTTGAATATTAAAATTACCACCCCTTCTGCAAAATCCTCCACTATCTCCCCACCCTCCATTATTTCCCTGTATGATTTTATTATATCCGTCCCCAACCGTTGTCAACATTTTTCAGAGAATTCTACCAGAAGTCCATCTCTTCGCAGTGTCTTCCCCCTCTTACAAGGTTTTTTAGAGTAGTCTTCCACCTTTCTCAGACTTAACTTCTCCAATTTTTGTTTCTTATCATTCCCTATTCCTTCCTTTATGCCTTCCAGGAGCACCTTCATTTTTCTTCCATCTACTTCTCTTCTTCTGTACAGCTTTCCTTTTCTTTTATAAAACTCTACCACCACATCCAGGACCTTTGCATTCTTTTCTATTCAGATTCCTTCTTCAGTTCTTATTGCTTTCACTTCCTTCCTTTTTCTCACCCCTCAATTTTGCCATAAAATACTTACACCACCCTTCCCCCTTCTCCATCCAGGGTGCTCTGGTCAGACAGATTTTCTCATCTGTTTTCCTTTTGAACCATTTTTCAGTCCATTGCTTTGTCTTCCAGTTCTTTTTTCACTCATACTCTTAGTGCCTCCTTTAATTCCTACTTCCTTGCCTCCACTTCTTCTAGCTCCTCCACCCTCTTCTTAATCTCTCTTCAACCAATATGTTCTTGTTCTTCTCTTGATCATAATCAATCACTCCCATATGCTTTTGTAGTATCACTTCAGAGTCCTCCATCCTTTATACAGTTTCACACATTCTTGAGAGATCAGTATTTTTGATGAGTTGTCTAGTTCTTCCTCCCTTCCTTCCCTATCACAAAGAAAGATTAATGCAGCCTAGCTGAATAAGATATCTGATAGTGCCCATTACATTTAGAGCCCTCGGTGCTGAGTGTTTCAAGTCATGGTGAGCCACTACAGTGAAAAAATTTAGATGTCCC